ACTTAGATGACTTATTTCTATTTTTTTCCGCCTACGTCTGGCAAAATTACAGCGAATGTAACGTTTAGGCAAACTTAATGAGTGATGCTCATCAATTATTTATACTTCACCATGAGCTCGGAGAGTCGAGGGCTTATTTTTGGAGACCTCACTCCTACTTTTGGATTTAGGCAGCTAATTTCTGTTGATAATTGTAAAATACCTATTGTCGCACTTCATGCGTAGCTTCGATTGTTGCACGATGTGTTAACCAAGGGTAATATTCAGCAAATTTCTCATATGGATAAAATTCACCATTTGATGAGAATAGATTACCGGCAGCAGCACTGTTCGAGCAAGATTCATACACTAATTCTCGATAATTATATGCTTCTGGAATTTCCAGTAATCTCCGCCTAATCCAGACGACTGATGATCACAATCATGTCTCCATTCACTTTCGTCCAATGAATTTGTGTGTCCAAACGCACGCTTACATGGCATTTTACACGTAGGACATGGTTCAGAGCATCGCATTTTGACAGCTTCATTTTTGTGATTGTCGTCATCAGAGTGAGCGTAGTTTCCACTATTTAATGTTCAAACCGCGTCAGCATATACTACCGGTAATTCGTACTTAGTTAAATTTTGCACAAGTTCTTGTAAAAAAATCGCGTACGACCTTGAGAGATTTTTGATTGATGGACGAAATTTTACGGGTTTGTCCATAGGCCTGTTTCAGCTACAGTATCATGGAACACTGATCTCAACGACACATGATACGCAGTGAACTGACTCTATGCACAAAGATTGATCTTTATCTCAATCAATCGATTTACGATTTTTTGGTAATGCTCCGGCGAATGTGTAACGTTGTAAATCATTCCATCAATTCTTCCCTCTGCAATCTGTTGCAATAAATCTAGGTCCGCATGTGCCGTCAATACCTGACTATTTTTTACCCATGCTTGACTTTGCTAATCATTGACAATATATTTAATGAACTTATTCATTAATCCAGATGGCATTGGCAAATTGAATCAAGGTACGGAGCAAATGTTCTGATTTCTCTCGCTTTCCACTGCCGGCCATCAGAAGTTTTTGATACAACGCGACTGTAGATATATTCGTTGAGTTGTGTTACTGATTTACCGTAATCGGTGTCGGGAACATCGTTTGGTGGCATGTCCAATTTTTCACCTTTCCCAAAAACTTGATATCGCTCTCTTTTCCACCGACATCACCATTTTCGGCTTTGACACGGAAATCACAAAACAACATGCGATTTATATTTTGGTCGTCTTGATTTCTGCCGTCTTGCAATTTACTGGCATTGTTTTTTAAATCGATAAACATTGCTTGGATGTTGTTTACAAGTTTTTTCGTATCGTTCATGTCAACTCGTGTATACACAAAAAATATTCGACTACTCAATTGAACTGTTGATGATGCCGTAAGTTTACTTTGTTGATAGGCTAACATGACCGTTGGCAGCACTTTGCGTGCGGCACTATCATCTTCACTGTTGATCAAAATAATCGTCGCATTAGCGGGTAAGACGGCGAATGTGGCCATATGATTATCTCGCCACGTTGAATCTGCAGAGCCAGTGTGTTCGGGAGCACGAATACCTTCGGTATCCAGTATCAAAATATAGTCGTATTCTTCTCGGTTTTCCGCTTTTAGTAGCTGCATATTGACGCCTCGTGTACACATTCCTGCACTTGTATGAAGGTGTGTGCCAAACATCAAATTCAACAGAGTAGATTTACCCGTGCTTTGTCCGCCTAGTATGCTGAGAATGAATATTCGAATTGTTCGATTCATCAACTCTAAACTATGCTGTTCCATCAGTTGTTGTTCGATTTGTAAAAGTACGGCTCTAATCCGTGTATTCTCCAGCATACCGGCGTCGCCGTCTAACAATTCTAATGCGAAACCGTCGATTAGATGTTTTGCGGCCAACGCCGGATAACTTTCATATCGTGTCGGATTGCTGGTGTACAAATGACATATCTCTCGCCTCAAGTGTTCGATTCCAAAAGTATTACCAGCGAACAACCGCTTCGCTTCGAAATATGCTTCCTGCTTCGACTGGTTTTGCTGATCACGATCGTACTCGTTGAAAGCTTCATCTTTTCGATCAGTTAACGTTTTTATTGCTGATGGTGAACAAAATTCAATTTGTTTAGTTAACTGAGTCACGGTCAATGTACGGACTTGGTGATTTTCAAGTGACAGAATACCTGTAAAACATTTTAGCAATGGATGCTTTTCAACATCGTACGCTTGGTCAGAAGCGTAGCATTTAGTAAGCATTTAGTCAGAATACATGACGGGTGCTACCGATATTTGCTGTCCGTTTCTTTGGAAAAACATCGTTCATTGCAGCGAGCAAAGACTCAAAACCTTCTTTAGTAAGAGCTGCCACAAATCAGTCCATATCGTTCGACCATCCATATGTGGGGCGTGACTCAAGATCTTCCGACTGCCCGGTCAGCTGAATTCAAAAACAATTCGTCGATCATCTACTTTGTTTCAATGTTAATCGAAAATGTGTTTAAATATATGACTCGGAATGTCCTCAGCACTGGAATTGTAAGAAAAGATTTTTCGACCGATAATCTGACTGTTCATCAGATCTGCTCGGTCTGCTGGACCAGTTTTAGACCAATGACAGATCAGATCGGTTCCACCATTGTGAGCGTTCTTTCTGAATGTCTGATGCTGATGATCGGTGCAACATCAGTGGAAAAATCAACAAATTCTTCTGACCTACCATTCATCAACGTTTCGAGATAAGGTGACAAATGATTTAATGGAATGGTAGGCATATCGAATTTGTCACTGTAAGAATCGTTATCATTTTGTTCACTCTTGTGACTTTTCCGAATAACATGCAAAATTTCCGGTTCTAATTCGACCTGTTTTTTTCAAATAAATCTTGAATCAGTATTGGAAAAAAAAGTAGAGAAGACCCTTCCAGTGGGAAGAGAAAATGAACAGAATGGCTGTTCCATTACCGTACAACAAATTTTTAAAACGATTCCATCTATGATGTGAATAATGAGTGTGCTCGTGGTAGAATACGAATAAGAGACCTTCTACTATGAAAGAGAGGCTTATCGCGATGTTTGTAAACGAGAAGTCTACGGAGCATTAAAAAAAATTCCAGTTTACACAACTGAAAAAGGTTCCTAAATACGGAAAATGTTTCCAAATAACTGATATATATATATATATATATGCTTACCGACATTAACACACTTTTAACAACGTTATTTGCTGGAAAGATAGTTTGACGAAACGTTAATATTATGTTGGATGTGAGGGATTATGCTGTGTCGAAATGTACGTCGCTTGACCGAATGCATTACCATCATTGTGTTTTATAGCAATACATAAATTCTTAGCATTTTAAGGAAATCTAAATAATGTATTATTTTGACTTGTTAAGATCCTTGAAAGATTATCATATTCGCTCACAACGCTTATTAAATCGATCAACTTGTACATGAACTCACGAATCAAAAGCCTGGGTTCTCGTTTGTGTCATTTATACCGGTGATCTGATTGAACGGCCAAAAACACTAACTAATACTACATAAGAATCTAATGTGGTTTTGTTTTAGATTATAAAACAAATTTTATAATTTTAGCGCATACCCTCGTAATTTTCTTTTCTTTCGAGAAAGACTCTTATCATCTAATATTTGACGTGTATGGAGAAGAAAAAGAAGGTAATAAAAGAAATCCGACTTTTTTGCGCTTTTTTTCATATGAGTCGTACTTCATCAAATAAAAAACCAAATATCACTATTATACAAGCACTTTTTTTGTATTTTTTATTTTACAACAGATGACTACTTAAACACACTCGATGAATACCGTTGAGTTACAAAAGCTATTCACGCTCAGAGCGAAAATATGACATTTAAATGGATATACTATCTTTATTGCGCTCATAGTCTTTCTGTGCCATTTAGAGCAGATGAACGACATATTAATTTTATGATAGAGGATTTGTCGACTACAGTTGAGTGAATAGCAAGTTTATTGTACAATTACATTATTTGCTTACTTTTACGGTCATTCGCGTTTCAGTGAACAAATTTCAAAAAAAAATTTTTCATTCTCTTCCTTACACCTTGCCTCACCACCATAAAAAATTCTGAGACGATATCTAGTCGACTTACTGAACTACTGCGGTCAAAAACCGAAAAAATCCATGTTTTTGATGACTCATCGACAGCAAAACGGATTTTTCTAAGAAAAGAAAGAACGAAAAATGAAAATTTGAAATTGAAAAAAAATTTGTAGGGCGTTCAATTCTTTATCGAATCATATAATTCACTTTTGTTTTTACTTACTTTTTTCTGGTCACATATCTCGAAAATAATTTTACGCACACTTTTCTTATTTTCTGTAGACGGATATTGTCATCCTTGTAACGACTAATGCTAAAGTGACTCAAAGATAGATGTGAAGTAGCTCTACAATTTCTGTAAAAAAAAAGTAGGTTTTGATTTTTCTTCGGGATCAAAAAATAAAACTTTCCGTTCTGCGTCAAAAACGGATCTTTTTTCCGGAAAATACCCTTATCGTACACTTTGTAGACGGACAATTTGCAATTTATTTTGCTTATAACTCGCGAGCAACGCATCCGTTCTTGATAAAACTTTCACATGAGATAGAGCATAAAAAGTTGTACAAGAGTGAAAAATTTTAGCTTTCTACGTTTGAATCTTATGCACTAATTTCAAGTTTTACGAAAAAATGTAGACACATTTTTTTCTGCTTTTTAGTCTATAGGCAATACGGTAAAAGAGAGTTTAACGTCTAAAATAGAATGAAAAGGACTTGCGGACTGAGCAGTCAGAAGCAGAGAAAGTACGTTCTCACTGACATAAGCGCTTCAAAGTCTTTTGAAAACTCAGTTTTTGAGACAGAAATCGAGTTTTTAGCTATTTAGTGTGAGCTGGGTTTCTTGGATTGTGTTAAATGTGATATAGTTCGATAGATCTCTTCGGGAGCTATCGACTGGTGTATAATATGTGCCCATTTGCATAAGTTTCGGTTCACAGTTTCAAAAACTTTTCTCGGTGAGAAAGGGGAAAACTTCGATATTGAATATTTCAGCCACTGCGCACGTGGTAGTTGAGAAATTTCAGCACACTCCCAGTAAATGATGGGGAACAAGATACACCACTTAGATTTTTTTAAGGCCCACTTTCGTTTGTTTTTACGAATTGTACAATAAACTTGCAATTCACTCAGTTAAAAATGTTGCAGATATGCTCTGAAAATACGTAAGTTTACACAAAACATACGTAATAGTTTAACGTTAGGATTACTTAGCTCGATTAATCACATATTTATCAAATAGGAAAGAAAAGTGTGTTGTTCTGTTCTGACCTTGCCTAGAGCAACCACGTTCAAGCCTTTTCAAAAGTTCTTTGCGCGTAAAAGATAAGCTTTTTGATTTATATATAGCAAAACATGAGATGTTGACAGATGAAAATACACCTATGTGTTTGTTCGCGTCGAAAATTTATTGTATCCAGTATTTTATTTATGCAATGATACTAAAATCATGTGCTTGCCTTATAGTACGATCATTTTATGTCAGTTGTTCAACACCGGGTTCGTATGAAGTCTGTTTCTATTGTTAAAGTAAGATATTTACGTTTTCCACATCATATTCGCTCTCTTCTAAAAAAACAAATTCAGCTTTTCTGGAACTAAAATTCAAACAGCATCCTGCGCGATTATTTAATATTTATTAAACGTATCGTAATTTTGTATCCAGTACAACCCATTCATAGCCAGTGATGACTCTTCTAAAGCTGACTTACGGTCTTCTCTCTTTCAAACTATTCATAACCTTCTGCTGCATCGTCGACACTTATCATCTTCTCCAAGTTTATCAAAAATTCATATTGATGTATCCGATGTTCAGGCTGTAAATAGTTTAAAAAATAAAACAGCTAGTCCACGTAATGGTAGACTTTTATGTCAAAGTTAAGGTGCAAATGCGGCTAAAACTACAGTACAACTATAGTTGTACTGTAGTGCGACTATGTTGTGGAGGATAGTCAATAATGTATAAAAGTGCATTCTTTTATCTTCGTTTTGCGTTCATTTTTTAGAGCAAAAAAACGCTTCTAAACAGATGGCGCCTTGAACCATAAAAGAACAGCGCACATGAGCTTTTTCATTTTTTTGTTCGGGTTGACAGTTAGTTGTTTCTTTCCTCCATCTGTGACTCGGGTCGAAAGTAGAACAGATGAACTTATTTTTCACGTAAAAGAAATTAATTTCTGTGCTCAGATGACGAACTAAAAGATCAGAGCCGTAGCAAATAAGTAATGTTAACATTACTTATTTGCTACGGCTCTATTATATATATGAGACGAGACAAAAAAACTAGAAAGAAAATAAACATACATATAATCTATATGTGTGTGTAGTAAAAGAAAACTGAGAAATCAAATAAACATAAACGAGAAATAGTCTGTGACGAAAAAATGAATATATTCACGAAAAAAAAAAGAGTTGAGAGGTAATAAGTACTGACTAACCTCTTAAAGGAAACTAACTGCCATCCGATTAAGTGAAAATAAAGAAAAGAACGCTCGAAAGGATCTGAGAACGAGATTTGACTAGACCGCCATCCTCTAAAGTCGAGTGGAGGATCCTTACAAAAAGAGAGCGTAAAATTCAAAACAAAGTCAAATCACTTCCCAAATGACATTTGACTTTTGTCACAGCATTGTTCATGTGAGGGCAGGTAGGGTAGCATCAACGAAATGAACTGTGGCGTGTATGATGTATCGTTGCTATGCCGTGCTTTTGCGATTTTTGATGGTTTCTGCTGGTTGAGGTAAAGCAGTCCCAGCATCTCACTTGGCCAGCCGATATATATACTGTGATTCACAATGTTGACCTAGCTGGTTTTCTTCGATCATTATTCCATTCGCTGCCTGCTTCACTATTTCAGTCCCAGAAAGGTTCTTGTCTTTCTTCCACTGTGAAAGAAAGCTACAAGCATCGTGGTTCCAGTCATTATTGAACATTTTACTCAATGCTGGTGGAAGACAGAATCTTTCTTCTCTTAAACCTTCTCTTTCATTTCTAGTAATTAGAACTCGCTTTATTTGCCGCTGTTTATTCGGTTTCGATTTACTGATTTGAATGGAATCCTTTAAGTTAATCGAATAATTATTCAGTTCAGCTAGTTTTGTTTGATTTTTTTCGTTAAATGCTTCTTCAATAATCGATGATTCGAGATCAGAATATTTTGTCCATTCTTCTTTCCC